TTGAGAAACCCGGTTCTCTTTTCTATTCGTCTTTTCTTTGTGGCAAACTTATCCCTGGAGCATACTTTTCGTGCTCGAACGAGAAAGATCAATCAACTTGCACAAAGCAAGCACACAAACTAGATCAGTTTTTTTTTCTTTTTTTCTTTTTGTGATACAGTGGAGACAGCAGTACACCACAGTGAGACCAGATGTCTTGTCATCACGTATCTTTTGTTATTTTAATGAACCACCGTGAGAGCACGTGAAAGGATTACTTCAAACATTTTGGTTTTTCTAGATGCATTACTTTTACTACGTAGTCAGACATAGTATATATCTAAGCGAATAGTAAAAACCATGCATCTACGGAAGCCAAAACGTCTTATAATTTGGAATAGAGGGAGTACCAAGTTTCAGTTGGTTCATTATTGCACCGGTTCATAATATATGGTCAGTATATTTGATTCCTTTTGTTTGTTTTTATAAATTTTTTCCCGAAAACTAAAAAAAATGTTGTTAGAAATCATGCTATATCATATCTGTGACACCGCTGTATCATGTTGACAAAAAAAAGAGAGCAGCCAGCGAACAACCAAGAGCAAAAAGAAAACCAAACCTAAATTACTAGAATATTTTAGTTGGTTTATTTGGAAATTGTGCATATGCACCCATGGTACACGGAAAAACTTTTACACAAAAAGGCAACGATACAAAGACAATATCAGATACCAATTGCTTTGAGCTTTCCTCTTTGGCAGAAGCAATGGTAGCAATGCAAAAGATTCAAAGAGGGATTTGTGATTTGGATCAGGGCATCGAGTCCTCATCTATTGATCTTTTCTTTTCTATCGAACTTATCCGGGAGCCTGCTTTTCATTCCAAAAATGAAAAGGAAAAGACCATCTTGCACGTAGTTTGCCAAACTGATCAGATATTTTGGTCACGTTTTTTTTTCTTAACTAACATGAGATTGTGTCAAACAGGGTTCAAAATTCCAATAGACTATATGTTGGCACACTAATCAACCAGTTCATACAATTAGTATGATTATGAAAAAACTAGAATCCATACTAAGTAGGATTTTGAAGACGTAGAAGAAGGAAAACCGAACCTAAATAACCAAAAAAAAATTTGTATTAGTTGGTTTTCGTTTTTTTTTCTAAACTTTAAACACCCCTTGAGTCTCAACCTAATCCATGAAAATTAAGTGGTACAAATACAATATCACAACATGTTCATCGACTATGATAGTAACATAAGCTGAACCACAATTGTAGTCAAACAATAAATCATCTCGTAAGGATCATGTGTCCATGTGCATGATTATGTATAGTTTTGGTGCTTTTGATGGCAATGGATTAACATGTGTTATAAGATGTATTTACAGGTTTTCTAAGGTTTTGTAAATGTAAGAAATCGAAAACGAAGGAAGATTGGGATAAGAGAGGGTTGAACTGGACTTGTCTCATGACTTTATCGCTGGTCAAATTGGTATGATACCGGTTTCAAGTTGTAGATATTTCCACAAGCTTTCCAACAAGTCTAAGATCATCAAAATCGGTGCCTTCTGCAATCCCTATGTTTTAGTGATGACCTGAGGTCTTCATTTTGTTTTTGGTTAGATGCATACAGTTAAGATGTTTGTAAGTCCTCCTTTATAACCCTTTAAAATTTATAAAATGAAGCGCTATGGGGATCCCCCCAACATTTTTTGCCTTCAAAAAGAAAATCGGAGTCCGGAGCAAAAGTGAAAATAGCGAAAATACCAATTCATATCATCATCGGATCATCCGCTGGAGATTTGAACTAATCCAATGCAGTATTTTTTTCATAATCTTGTAGTTCATTTCACCAGCTTTCCAACAAGCAAAGATCATATAGAACAGACTTCGAACTAGGAGATATGGTCAAAATACCGAGAAGACAATGTACTAAAATAGTACTGCCTTATAATCCAATGCTCACTATTTTGAACCGGTGGATCATCCGGTGATGTCCAATAAACGGTGCATAGAATACACATAGTACCATCATATGATCCGGTATTATTGTTGATAGGTCAGAGGATCACCCCGCACTGCAGTAACGATGTATTAAGTTCACACTTGGGGTCTTGGGGGCTATATGTATACCCCTCAAGTGTCGATTGGATAAAAAATGCAGTTGAGAACCTTTTACTTTTAAGATTGTATTTATGTCTAAAATTTTGCTATGATGTTCATAGCAGAACACTAGTTTTTTTCATAGCTCAACTTTTTACCCATGTTTTGGACATTAAAGAAATAAGCTCCACTTCAAAGTTGTCGAGTGCTCTGGTCCCATATAAAGATTATTTTCATCCGAAACCATATGAAAAATGTTGTATTTTTCCATAAGAAGCATCACATGTGGATGGACTAAACTTCGCACCTTTCAAATAACAAAATAAGGTATTTTCGTACTATCATTCGAAGAAAATTGATATTTTGTCACTTCACTATACAGATACAGTTTCACACTTCCAAACGGTGAAATTTGGCCTTTTCCCATAATGCTAGATCTCTGGTTTTTTTTACGAAATAGATCTCCGTTCTTCAGAATGGTGTAACGCTAGTCTTTCTTTACTGTTATGAACAAGCGTCGCTGGAAGGATTGCTGGCCAGGGAAAAGCAAGAAGCAGAGGACGAACAGAGGAACACGGCAGGATTCTGTGGGAGTTTCCAGTTATCAGACGGTTAGGGCGTCCCCAACAGGGGGAGTAAATCGCCGGCTACTGTGTTACCTAGAAACAATAAAAAAAAAGAAACAAGCTAGGTAGGGAATGCAGGTCAGAGACTCAAGAAACATGGAGAAACGTGCGAGCTGGGCGTTTGCTCCATCGCTAGCGCTGTAAATTTTGTCAGCCTCTCTCCATCTGATTGGATAAACTGGTTCTCCTAGCTAGCAGGGTGTCAGCCATTGGGAAAGCTCTTAGGCCCCGTTTGGTTCACGGGATTTTCACGGGAAAATCAAAGGAGATAAAAACGGAGGAAAGGATCGGTGGTAGAGCGTTGGAGGAAATAGCAAACCCTTTTCTTAGGAATACTGTAGCTAGATCCCGATTCCATAGGAAAAATCAAATCCAGTCCGATCGCTTGTTTTCTCTTCCTTTGCGGAAGCCCGAGGCAACTCGCCCGTCTCACGCCAGCAAGAGAGGATTTTCTGTTATAAATTCTTGTGTTCCAAACAGCCTAAATTTTCTGTTCCTATGTTTTGAAATCCCGTAGTTTTTCACTTTTCATCATACCTTATTCCTGCGTTTTTTCCCATCCCTACGTTTTGGATTCCTTCGTTCCAAAGAGGCCCTTACAAGAGAGGGTTTCTTTTTTTTAACGGTAAATTTGCATTCCTCAAATACAAGATATAGAGATGAGGCAAAACGAGCCCCATGGAAAGTTCGATAATGATCCAACAACGTCCGTGACTCCCGTTCGGACGTGGCTCCATAGGAGCAGGCCCCATCTCGAAATAAAAAAACAAATCCCCACTCCCTCATATACTTATTTTCCCAACCCCGAAGCAGCGTGGCCGCTAATCCGACCGCCTCCTTCCCCCACCGCGTGCTCGTTGGGCTGTCGCGCCGTGCCCTTCCCCCATCACTAGCCGCACCGTTCGCTCCCTCGCCGTCCGTCCGTCGCCCATCACCGTCGGGCGCGCCGCTGACCCCGGCATGGCATGGCCACTGGGGCGCACGTGGAAATCAGATATTTCCCCGGCCGATCCAAGGCTACCCAGGAATGTGGGCGGTGCGGGTGGTGCTCGCACGCCGCCGCTCGTCGCCGCAACGACCGTAATCGACCGCCTCCGGCCTTCCCCTCCCCTATGTTGCATATGTATGTTTCAAGTATTTCAGGTGTTTCAAAGGTACGTTGCATATTTTTGCAAGTGTCTTCAGTGATATGTTGCAAGCGTTTTGAAAAAAAAATGTTTCATCTGTTTTAGACGTATGTTGCAGCAAGTGTTTCATCTGGATGTTGCATATGTTGTAAGTGTTTTATCTGGATGTTGCATATGTTTCACACACATGTTGCAAATGTTTTATTTGGATGTTGCATATGTTTCACACATATGTTGCACCAGTATGTTTCATATGTGTTCGGCGTATGTTGCAAAGTGTTTCATGTTGCAAGTGTTTCACGAGGGCACGATGAGTGATGAGTGCACGGCCCGAGCACCAGGGATGGGTGCGGCAGAGCTGGGGACTGGCAGACGGGGACGTAGCGAGCTAAGGGCCGGCTCCTGGGTCCTGCCGACGCAGAGAGAGAGGAGGGGGTCAGGGGAAGGAGCAGGGAGCAGGGTGCCCGTGTGAGGCAGGCTGCGCGGCCGTCCATCCTGATGCGAGGGGCGGCAGGAGCAGCATCAAGGACAGGGTGCACGTGCGAGTCGGACCGAGGCGGGCTAGGTGGGTCTGGGCGCTAGCCACACCGATGAAAGTTCTCCACGGGAGAAGGTTTCTGTTCTTCCTTCCTTCAAGCCAGCTTAGAAGTTACAACTGGGTCACGCTCCTATCAGCCCACTACCCACATACTTCTTTAGGCCCATTGCCTCATCTATCGTAACATTTATTTACGTTCCTTGAAACTGTGATACATGGGTGCATTATGCAATCCAGTGAAGGCAGGCATTCAGGCAAGAACAGTGTACTAGTACTAGATTAGTGTCTAGTATATTACAGTCATCAAATTTTGACACTAGTAGTTACTGGTGCTTCTTTGCTGATCCTGCGTTGTTCCTCCTAAAATGAAAATCTCTCGCTAGCCAGTAGCAAGCACAGGCCTTCCTCAGTTCCTGCTAACCTCCTCTTCCATTATTACTCCCTGCTGTTCGTCCGAGTGATGAACTGCCTTCACCACCATCTGGAAACGCAGTCTACAGTCTTGATCATCGTCACCCACTCACCAGTCACCATCCTGCCTAGCTCCGATCCTCCGGCTGCTGAGACCGCATCCATCCACGATCGCCGCCTGGCTGCCTCCACTGTCGACGCCAGCCAAGAAGCTTCAGTCGTAGGCGAAGGACGCCTTCTGCCGCCTGCGTGCCTTCCCGTCGGAGCACTGGGAGCTCCTGCCGCTCTTCTTCCGCCTCCTATCCGCGGCCGCGGGCCCGCCGACGCCGAACATGGTGATGCGGCCGAAGCCCCTCGACAGCGACGCGAGGAAGGCGCGCCCCTGCTCGCCGGGCCGCCCGCCGCCGGCGCCGTCCCCTCCGCCGCCGCGCATCCTCCCCTGCTGCTTCATCAGCCCCTGCTCCCGCTCCAGCTCCGTCAGCCGCACCCGCATCCGCGAGATCTCCAGCTTCAGCTCCCGGTTCTCCCGCCGCAGCGACGCGTAGTTGTCCCGCTGCGGGGACACGCACGAGCTCGGCACGCCGCTGCTGCTGCACACGAACCGCTGCGAGAAGGACCCGTCGGCGCCGAGGCCGCCGCCGATGCCCACGCACCCGGACCCGCCGCCCGAGAACGAGGACTTGAGGCGGAGCTGCTCGAAGTAGAGCACGCGCACCACCATCTGGATCGGGAGCCGGTCGTTCTGCGCCGCGTGGCTCGACGCGTCCTGCGACAGCTTCTGGCAGTCGATCAGCTTGCACAGCTTCTTGCACTCCGACTCCGTCAGAGATGGATGCGCCTGATTACAAACATATTCAGGATACGATCAGACATAAACATTGATCAGGCAAGTTTTATTAGTCAGGCAGAGACCAAAATTCAGTGATCAACTAAATTTATTCTGGTTGCAGTTTACCTTCAGGCCTAAAGATTGATCAGACAATTGAGTTCAGCCATACAGAAATCGAAGTCCCGTGGTCAGCTATAACAGTATTATAGTATTTTATTGCCTACACATATTTTCATGCTATCTAGTTACATGGGAAATATGCCTACTCAGAATATGGAATTCATTGCCACTAAGTAAAATACAATGTTTTTATTCTGTTTGATCGTACAAATATCATGCTTTTGTCAATGATAGTCTTTTTATGCAATTTAACTTCAGGCATATACATTGGTCCAGAGAGTTTAATCAGACAGACATTAAGGCCCAGCGATCACTATTGAATTTATTCCATTTGATTGCATACACACAGTTTCATCAAGACTGAATAGAAGATAGATAGGAAATAATGCCTACTCAGAATATGGGATTCTTTGTCACTAAATCAACTATGTATATTAAACCTCTGCATTTGCTGAAACAACTACAAAAATGTGACATTTCTAATGTAATGACTTTACCTTCAGGTATATGTCGATGGCACGATAGAGTCCATCATCAACAATGCGTGCATAATCTGGCAACAGTTCAATAAGAGCCATGAACTTCTGCAGTTTCAGATATGGATCTGGTGCTACCTCTGCAAGATAACCGTCCATTAGTCTCCCAACCTTCAGGACTGAACTGTGGCTTGGAGACTTGAGTCCGTCAGAGTCATATCCACAAGGTGACAACTCTCCTGAACTATCTTCATCTATCCTCTGCAAGAAATTCACCAATATACGGTGGACAGTGTCAACGTCAAACATCGAATCACTTGTTTGCGTGGAGGGGATCAGCAGATCATCTAGTGATGCCATCTCCAGCTGGAGGCCAATCCTTTTCTCGACTTCGATTCTGCAGTCCAGGCTTGCATCAACTTCAATTGCCATTCTCAGCATGCCAAACAAGAAGGACAAAGTAACCGTTGTAATATTCTCAGTCGCCAACAGATCGATGAGTGTTTCAACAATCATCCTCTGACTGTCTCCGACAAAGGGACCTGAGTCCCATACATGGCGTCTCTCGACACCCTTGAGTGATGTTTGGGCATAGTGAGTAATAGAGGTGCCAATACTCTCTGGCCTGACCCCATTTCTCCTCATCGCAGCAATCACACGCCGATAGTGGTCGATTCTCAGTGCAGAAAGGTCTTCAACCCACCAATCTTGGCAGTGCATGCGCAACTTTGCAGATCCCACATCACATTCCAAGTGAGCCAAACCTGAAACCAGCTGCTCCTTACTTGCATTCACCGCGATTGCATCAACACACCTATCTACAAGCCCAATTTCCTCCACTACTGGATCCAATCCATCACATTTACAAAGAACTTCCAGGGATTTATCGAGGTTCTTCAGCACGATCTCGTTTAAGTACGTCTCTGTCCTGAAAATGAGGTTCTCCTCTTGATAGTCCTCTGTCATTTCCAAGTACTCTGCGACGCATCGCAGATGGGCCACATTGGCCGTGGTTATTTCAAAATTGCTACCGTAACAGAACTTGGCAGCAAGTTCAAATGCAAAAGCTCCCCCTGGTACATTTACAAGCTCCAGCTTTAGGAGATCTGGATCCTTGGAGTCCACTACCATTTTCCGTACTCGTCCACACCGAGATACTAAAGGGAACTGCAAAACAAGGACAATTGTTAGGGCATGGTGAAACTTATTCCAGGGAAGGAAGCTTAAAATTTTGCTTCATGGGTTATGCAGAGGGTGAGAGGGATGTACCAATAAGATTTCTCAGTTTATACATAAATCCTTTACTAATCCTTCAAAATTTGCATGACTTTTACATAGTAACTGGTGTAATGGAGTGCTTAAATGCAAATTTCCCTGTATTTGTTCATTACTTGTTGCTTTCGAACCTTTAGAATGACCAAAACCATCTTACAGGATGAACTGCATCCAAGTTGGCTGATACCGTGATACGTGATACTTATTATTTTCCAAAGACAACGCATGCGAGCATTTTACAGGAAGTGAATCACTGATTACACACCACACAAGAGTTGAAATCATGACTTCATTAGTCATTACTACATCATTTGTACGGGTTTCGTATACGGTGATACCCATTTCTATGTCCTGAAACAAAAGCAAGTGTTCATTATTTCTGGTCCTTTGCCAAGCAATCTATTAGAAGTGGCATGCCCACCCAACCTATGGTGTACTGGTCCAAACATGGCACTGAAACTTCCAGCAAAGGAAAATGCGCCTGCCTAAACTGAACAATCCCCAAAACAATCACGCTGGCGTACCGATGAGAAGGCGGATTCATATGGAATGGAAGCAGAGTAAATGAAGCTTGGTTGTAAAAACACAAGAGTGATGAAATGGAGTATACACCGACCTTGTGCAGCAGAAACGACTGTCCATCCACCGATACCGTGACATCCTCAGCAACATCTGAAAATATCCTGCACAAGCACAGCAGGCAAAGCAATGCCCCAAAAGTTTTATACTTTTATTAGGCACCAGGATATGCAAACAGCTAGCGCATTGTTTGTAACACCGTTTTGCCTTTGCCACACACTCCCTCCCAAGAACGGAACTGCAGGTGCTGAGGAATCGACTGACTGAAACAGACTGTTCCAGGCAATGCTGCTAGTACCTCCTGAACTCTGATTCTACCACGGAACAGTTGATGAAATTTCAGTATCCAGGAAACGATAAAGCAGTGTACTAAGAACTAAGAACGTATGTTGTATATATAGAGACATAAAGCCGTAGTTTGACAAACCCTGTGGTTTTTATGAGTAGAGCGAAAGGTTCAGGAGTGGTGGCGCCTGATGGTATTATCAAGCGCAGAAGTGCCTGCCCTCTGATGGACAGGACCTTGAGAGGAGCAAAAGCAATTTACTCCGTATTTCACAGTAGCAGTTGGATGCTTCCTTCCAAAACGAGTAAGCGTTAGATGGACGGCGGCGTCCAAATCGATGGAACGGGATGAAAACTGGAGCCGCCGAAGCAAATGGTGAAGGGGTCTAAGAGCTAAGACTAGCGTGGCACCGGCCGGCGTGGCAAGCTGTTCTTGTACCGGGTTCCCCCAAGTATGGCAATGGCAGGCGCAATGCAAAGGAAAGCAAAGGCGGACGGGAGTCAGAGGTGGGGATCCTGACCTCCTGTGACTGACGGCGGTGCCGCAGAACCGCGGTGACGTGGTGGTGGCGGTGGAGAAGGGGAGCAACACGGCGGCGGCGTCGCTGCCCATCCCCATGCCTCCTCTTCCTCTTCTCCCCCTTGCTCCGGCCGTCGGCTCACCTGCCACCTCCTGCTTCTCTCTGTCTCTCTGAAATGCTCTCAGCACTGGAGAGGTCTGGAGTAGGAAGGTTGAGAAGAGAAACGGACGAGGAAGGAATGACGGCTGGTCTGGTTGGTCGGCGGGGCGGGGCGGGGCGGGGCAATAACAAATTGGTAGTATTGGGAGGGAGCGGAAGAAAGCAGAGAGAGAAAGCGCAGACAGCGACAGAGCATCGTTTGTTGTGTCTTGATCTTGACGTGGGGGGGTGATTAGGAACAAGATTATGATTAGCTGAGCGTCTGAGCCTGAGAGAAAGGAACCCTAACAGATAAAGTGACTCGACGACGGAGGGGAGGAATAGTTGGGTGACCAGGGGACACCCCCTGCTCCACTGTCAGTATTCTGGCAGCTGGCTTGGCTGCTGCTTGATTGAACCCAACGGAAATAGAATGGAGCCTTCAAATATTGAGGTAGGTACTGTACCTTAATCTTTATGCCCAAGCTCACGTAGCCATCCATGGTTTATACTCATCCATCCACGGGAATGCAATTCTAGAATAATATCATATTTTAGTATATCAAGTTTGATCAATTATAAATAAAAAAATATAAATATGCATAATATCGAATAAATATTATTAGATTAATTACGAAATATATTTTTATAATAAATTAATTTAGAGTCATAAATGTGAATATTATTTATTAGAAACTTGGTCAAACGTGAAACACTTTAACCGGTATGCATACCATAGTTACATCCTTTCCAAGACTAGAAGTTTTTTTTTTCTTTTCACTTTTGTTACTACCACAACTACTCCTACACAATGCTCAAGTTTGCCGTGTTCACTAAACCATGTCTGGTGTAATAACTCGTCTTCTGCTCCTACTTGTTTTGGTTCTTTCGGTACTTTGTTGCTATCAATCAACCTGAATTATTGCCACGTGTAATGTGACGTGAGACTACTAGTAGGATGCATTGCAAGAATCTTTTGAGGGCAGGCAGGCTTGTTTGTTCACGAGCTACAGCAAGGAGTGAGCCTTTTTTTTAAAAAAAATGTTCAGCTGTTGTAGCATAGCAGCAGTAGGTGGGAGAGACCGAGAGAGTAGAGTCGGGCGGAAGGCTGTCTGTCGGTGAAGAGTGGTGGGATGAAATGATGCCGGAGCATGTTGGCCTCTGTCCTCGGCTGCCCCTGCTGCGTGTCTCCAGCAACCAGACGTGCCGAGACTGAGAGGAGGAGTGGGCATGCCCTTTCCCATTCCCATCCATCCTCCTTTCACTTTACCGCTTTGCCACTCATCCAGTTTTGCTTGTCCAGCTTGCCGCTTTGCTGGCTAGCACCAGTAGCCTAGTACTTGGACACTTCATTCATCGGTCCAAACAAGAACAAAAGGTAACTGAACAGTCAAATAATTTTACGTACGTTTAATAATAAATAAATATATCAAAAACATTAGTAATTTCGATATCTGATCCAGTACGTCTTGTTGTATTCACCATAAAGTATTATTTTTATGATAAGATTAACTTGATCCAAATTTCGAGGAAAAAAATAGCTTACTGAGGTTGAGCCGGCCGTTGACAACGTACGCAAGTACGCTCACTTGCATACGAGGATGGATGTATCCGGTGCACTCGATGAGGCGTGTTCGTGCGTGCAAGTACGCTGGTACCGCACGGGCTTTGATTTGTTCTTGCAACGTCATTTCTCTATCTTTTTCTAACCACGGACGATGATGAAACTACATACACTAACTTTACATTGGTTGACGCCTTCTAAAAGCTAATAAGAAACAATCAGTCTGGTCACTGGTTGGTTTCTGGGTTGATAAGTCTGGGTGCTGATTTGTTGTAAGAGGAAAACACTGTTAGCTAGCTGATAAGCCCTGACTGAAACCAACAACCGAACAGGCTGAATAACAGATCCAGCACTTTATTGGATGGAGCCTAGAGTCCTTTGACGTGCAGGCGAGACCGCGAGACATATATATACTGATTGGGACGAGGAGAGTGCTGAGTATCGTTACATCATTTATAGAAGATTTTTCTCTACTAATATCGGGGTGCAAACGGTATGGATATTTTCCGACCGTACCTGAGTCTATGCGTTTAAATAGGTTTAGATTTGGCCGCATCCGAGATAGATCGATAGGATATTTTACGTCCGATACTGTATCAATATCTGAATACTCAAATCACGTATTTATGATGTCGATAGATATCTATTCTATCATATCCGACATAGTTGATAATTTCCGTATTGAATCCAAATCCAAATAGAAATATGAAAACGGGATAAGGCTAAGTTAGAGCGGTGAGCACCCTACCCCCCTACCCCCCTGACCCCAACCCTAGGTCCTGACGGGGCCTTCCCCCGCCGCCACCACCGCCCCGGCCCATCCCGGTGCCGGCGGCACCCTCTCCACCTCCCCTCCCCTCCCCTTCCCCCCTTCTCGCATCCCCTCCCTACAAACCCTAGCGCGGAGTCAACCTCCGCGGACTCGGCCAGGACATCGCCACCGCAGCTTGAATCCCGGTCGGATGTCGCGGCCCTGCGCACCCCTCTGGACAGATCCGCGACAGCTGGAGGAGTTCGCAGCCTCGCTCGTCATCAGTCGGATCATCACGCGACCTTCTCCTGAGCGCCTGTTGTCACCTCCGGTGGCCCCCAACAAGGTGAGGCCCCAGCAATGATGCCCCCACAGCTAGAGGATGAGGACCCGGCGACAGTGGTCTCCTGTGCGTTGCGGACACCACCTCCGCGCCCTATTCACTGGGCAGTGGACTCACCGCCGGTGGATACCCACCCGACCGAGGACAACGATGACTCTGCCAAACGCCGCCTCGATAGCTTCATCAACGAAGTGACGCGTAAGAGGGACTCTCCACTAATTCGTGAGCCTCCAAGGTAGCCTCCTGCTAAGCCAGTGATGCCGTGGTGGAGCAGGCGGTTAGCGACTTAGCCCCTCTCTCGAGTACCTACTTCCAAGCGAGGTGAGGTGCTGATCATGCAGCCCCTGTCTCGAGTACCCTCTCTCGAGTACCTGCTTCCAAGCGTCGGAGCTGGAGGCCTATGACAAGCTCTTCGACGGTGACCTGACTGTGTCCAAAGCCGAAGTGCTGGACAAGCTCTTCCTGGTTGTTCAGTTCGGACAGCCGCGAAGACGCAAGGCCACCTCATAGGTCGCACTGTTGTGTCGGTATTGGTTGTTTCCTTTAATGTAATATTGAAAGTGCATCTAGCCCTTTAGTGGGTTTTGGATGATTGAATGACAACGTGATTAAAGGTCTAACCCATTTGCTAAGTGTGGATAGGTAATAGGTTATCTCACATGTACTTAATGAAAGCCAAAATGATGTGTTGTTGCATAAACAATCTAGTTCAAGCACAAGACAACAATGCAAATGGAATTCATGCAAAGGCTTATTTATTGTGGGATTTCCATATTCTATGTGAAAGCAAGCTTGTAAGAATTAATTAATGAGACATAAGGGATTGCATATGGAATGGTCTCATATTTGAAGCTTGCTAAATTGAAATGAAAAAGATAACAATACATGAATGGATGATTCAACACAAGATGTGACTTGATGGCTTGAGATTGTGAAGATAGCAAGGAAAGGCTTCGAGGTACTAAGCAAGGGTGAAGGGCAAGCGACGGCTTGGCGGCCGAAGAACCTAGCTAGGTTGAAGAAGAAAGTACTTGCATTTAGTTGAGGTACTAATCAAGCTATGATGGCCATGTTTATGTGGATGATCAAATCACTATTAGAGTGTTTGATGGAAGTGACTTGATACATTTGGGATTATTCAAAATTGATGAATGGAATCAAGTCACGTGCTCAAGATGGCTATGCTCAAGTAAAAAGATCAATATCAACATGTTGGCATCCTTACTTGATGAAGATTGAAAGAGACGGCATCAATTCAAAAGAGATCAACTCAAGTGGTATAAATTCATTTTTCCTTTGATCTTGAGTTTAATAGGTATGTCGTACTATTAAGAAGGATGCATCATATTGATAGATAATCATTCATAAGTGCTCAAGCCAACCCATGTGAGTTTTGAGTATTTAAGCGACAAAAGAGCAAACTTTATTTTTGTTGGTCTGGCAATACCGAACGTGTCCGGTATTCATACCGGACGTGTCCGATATTTACCCAGCAGTTGTAAAATTGTTGTTCTCGGGTTGGTTTGTCGGGAGTTCCGACGTAAGTCGGGAGTTCCGACGGTCAGGAGTTCCGGCAAGGGTCGGGAGTTCCGACGTCTCGCACTTTAACTGACTTAGAGGGTTCACTGTCCTGGTCATACCGGACGTGTCTGGTATTCATACCGCACGACCAGAGGCCAACGGCTAGTTTTCCTAAGCCTTCAGGGTCGGGAGTTCCGATGTGAGTCGGGAGTTTCGACGGTCGGAAGTTCCGGCATGAGTCGGGAGTTCTGACACCTCACATACTTTAACTCAGTTACATGGTTTTCAAATTTGCTGAGGGTTCGGAGTTCCGATGTGGGTCGGGAGTTCTGATGGTCGGGAGTTCCGGCATTCATCGGGAGTTCCGCCGCCTCACATTGTCACTGTAACTTAGTTACCGTTGGGGCAGTATAAGTCATACCGGACGTGTCCGGTATGGCAACGGCTATAAAACGACTAGTTTTTCAAAGGGGGTTATAAATACCCCCAAGCCTCCATATTTGGAGGCTGCTGATTCTGCTGATACACACACACACACGTTTTTGAGCCTTGCCAACTCTCTCAACCCTCTCTTAGTGAGTGATTGATCAAATTTGCCACATCAAATTGTGGGTTGAGTGAAATTCAAAAAGAGAGCAAAGCCACTACTTGAGCACTTGTGCATATTGTCGATCTCGTGATTTGCATTTGTTACTCTTGAACTCTTTGGTCCTAGACGGTTAGGCGTCGCCGGAGAGCACCCGAGAGATTGTGGTGTGCCTCGAAAAGTTTGTAACGGTCG